TTGCCCACTTCTGTGGTTTGTAATGTTATGGGCAGCACAAATGTCTTGATACCTCAGGCTGTTAATGTTGCCACTAATGTTGTACTGAATGTAACCATGATTTTTTCTTCACCAAACTTGACTGATTTCTGTGAGAATCTTGGATCCATGCGGGTTCCAATAGGTCTTCTGCAGTCTTTGTGATGATCAGAATGCAGTTCAACAGATGATTTATCTAAAAAAAAATCTACCTTCTGACACATTTCCAAATGATCAACTAGTAGTCAAATTATTATTTGTTACTCTTACAACTGGGATTGATTGCAAGACTTGTCACGTAGTTTAAATATAGAAGCCTGAGGAAAAAAATGCTAATTTTAAAAGGAAATTTTAGATGGCACATTTGGAGGCTTTTGCATTTGATCTCTTCAAATATAAACAAGTACAGACAGACATAAAAAAAAATAATGATAATTTATATATATATATATATATATATATATATATATATATATATATATATATATATATATATATATATATATATATATATATATATATATACACACACACATATATAAACTGATTTGTGATCATGCCAAATGACAAACTTTCCAGACAAACATTGTATTGCCAAAGATTTTAGGGCATCTGCCTTTAAATATGCACATGATTTTTAATAAAAACCCAATCCTAATCCGTATGGTTTAATGTGCAGTTGACAACCCCTTGCAGCTACAACAACTTTTCTGGGAAGGCTTTTCTTAAGGTTTCAGGGTGTGTTTATGTTAATGTTTGACCCTTCTTCAAGAAGTGCACTTGTGGGGTCAGGCACTGATGTTGAATGAGAAGGCCTGGCTCACGGTCTTCGTCTAATTTATCCCTAAGTTTAATCAAGTTGAGATCTGGACTCAAGGTCTGGTGTAGGCGAAATAAGTTCCTCCACACCAAGTTCAATAATTCATACCTTTGTGGACCAGGTGTAGAGTCTAAATAACAAAGGCATTCTTGTCTTCTCCTCTGACATTTTTCTGTTTTTAATCATTTTCCTGACACTTAAATCTTATATGAAATTATGTCCAACCAAACACTTGTAATCTTCCCAAAAAATTCTTTCTATATGAACCTTGGATTGTCCAAAAAATTGGACAATCAGACCTAACATATGTTGAAAAAGATTAAGAACTGGTAATATTGCCAAATCTATGTTGGGACAGAAAGAGAACACATTCCCATCACCATCAACGATACACCAGTTGAGAGGGTCAGTACTTTCAAGTTTCTTGGAGTCCACATTGCTGAAGATCTGACATGGACTGCTCACACACATGCAGTGCTGACAAAGGCACAATGCCTCTTCTTTCTCAGGCATCTCAGGAAGTTTGGAATGAGCCCGCACATCCTTCTCTCGTTCTGCACCTGCACTGTGGAGAGCATCCCAAATGGCTGCATCACCACCTGGTATGGAAACAGCACCAGCAGCAATTGCAAAGGTCTACATAGGATTGTGCAAACTGCTGGCAACGCACCTCCCTCCAGGACATCTCCACCAGGCAGTGCATGAGGAAAGCCAAGAGAATCATCAGCGACTTCAGCCACCCAAGCTAAAGACTTTTGCCATCAAGTGCACTGCACTTTAACCAATCCTTACTTAAAACAATATTGCCTATTCATTTTCCACCAACAGTCAGACTATATGTACACTTATTTATTGTCTTCTACATATTACTGTCAACATTGCTAATTGTATATTGTTTTGTTTTTTGGGAGTATGTCGTTGTATTTGCACGCTCTGCAACTAAGCACCTAAGCTTCTCACTCATCACAGTACACGTGCTGCTGATGATGTGACAATAAAAGTAATTTGAAGTTAGATTTGAAGTGGTCATCACAAAAATTTTCCCACAATTAAAATTGAGCATGGAATTGTCTATAATGTCTTGGTATGCTGCTGAAGCATTAAGAGTTAATTTTATTGCAGAAGTAAAGCCGAAACTCTGAAAAACAACCACACGACAACCACACAACAACCCCCCTCCACCAAACTTAATTATTATTTATTTATTGCCACATCAGCAACTTTTGGCTATTTCACAGCAAAATGGATATACATAAAATATCACATGATAAAAACAAATTCGTATTACAATAATAAGCTACTTAATATAATTAAAATTAAATAATTAAAGTGTTCACACAAAAATATATTCAAAGTTAAATATGACTTCAGTTTAATTTTTGATAAATAATTTAAGATTCTTTCTGGTGATAGGTTTTTAAAAATGTCCATCAAAGTACTCTCCTTATAAAAAAAGTTGTCTAAGGGTTTTCAATCTTCCAAATTCCAACAAAATGTTTCGTGCTAAGAACAGCCTGCCAGTAATTATATTTAGGTGGTGCTTTCTTATTCAGTGAATACAAACGAGTCAACCTAGAATGTCCAATTCGACATCTAGTATAGATAGTTTGATCATGCCTGGTCTCTACCAAACTTTAAACTAGGCATGGTGCAACCAAGTAGCTACCGTTCTCCCGGCAACCACCAAACCCAAACTCATGTATCAGATTTTCAGACAGAAAAACGTGATTCCTTACTCCAGATAGCATGTCTCCAGGTCTTTAGAGTCAAGAGTGGTGCATGACATGCTTCACACCAATGTTCACCACCATAGAAACTGTGATAACACAGTACACACAGTTCTTAAGGCCACACAAATTTTGGAGGTCTGTAAATATTGCTCTAAATATCATAAATATGTGCACTGTGTCCCCGCTGTAAGAGTCGCAGTTGTTCTCACTTGTGTATACTTTGTTATAACACCACCACTAACAGTTGACTGTGAAATAGTGGTGACAAATTTTCACAAATGGACTTATTGCACAAGTCAACCTACAATGCTCCTAAGAGTGACCCATTCATTTTACAAATAATTGTAGAATCAGTCTGCATTCATTGGTGTTTGATTCAACCTGTGGCCAGGGAAGTGATCAGGATTTAGACACAGGAATTCAATGATTTAGAAGGGTGTCCAAAAACATTTGGCAATAAGACCTTCCAGTGTACTTCTGCAATTCAATTGAATTCAATTCATGTTTATTTCTAAAGCGCTTTTACAGTGTAGATTGTGGCAAAGCAGCTTCACATACTGTAGAAGTTCTAGTAAATTGAAAATGTGTCAGTCCAGTTTTAAGAGTTGAAGATCAGTTTAGTTCAGTTCAGTGTGGTTTAAATTTCACTACTGAAAGTCCAAACACTGAAGAGCAAATCCATTGATGTGTAGCTCCACAAGACCCAAACAAGCAAGCCAGTGACGACATCCGCAAGAAACAAACTTCACCGAGTGACAAAAGGTAAAAAACCTTGAGAAAAACCAGGCTCTGTTGGGCAAGACCATTTCTCCTCTGGCCAAACTTCCTGTGCGGAGCTGCAGTCTAGGCGCCGGAATGCAGTACATGATTGTGGTACATTTGTTTAACATAGTTATCTGCTTTTGTTTTGTTTCTGGATATCTATCCAGTTTTACTATAAATGAATGTTAATTAGCTAAACGCTATGTTTAATCTAAAAGTAAAAATGTTTGCAATGTCAGAATGAACGAGAAGTGCTTATCAGGGTTAGAATAACAATTTGATCATCAATTTCAAGCACATCAGCCTAATGAAAAAAATATATTTAACACCCTCCACAATTTGTTTTTGAACATTTAACAGAAAGATACATTTGGTACACATCATTTACAATATTAATTATTAGATTATTTACAATGGTGCCAATGAAGAATGAAAAAGAAAATAATAATAAGAAAAAACAACATAAATTAAACAAAAAACAAAGAATTATCAATAGGTTATCTGATATGAGGATAGATAATAGATAAAGAAATTGAAAGTTAAGAGGGATCAACCGCAATTTAGAGATTCAATAGATTATACAGTATAATATATTAAAAATTTATGCAAATTATATAGGTTTTAAATGCTTTCTTGTTAAGTTAAGCTTGGAATTGTAAGTGAGCAATTTCAGTGTTATGGATGTGACATTTGCAGGAAAAACTCAATACATAAATTCACAGAAAAAGTATATGTTAACATTATATTGAAACATGTTTAAGGCGAGGCAGTGGTGCAGTAGGTAGTGCTGTCGCCTCACAGCAAGAAGGTCGCTGGGTCAAACCTCGGCTCAGACCCAACACAATGCTAACCAAAAGGATAAGGGTGACTCTCTATAGAACAAACATTATTTTATTTTATTGTACATTTTTGCATTTATGAAAAAAAAGCTTTGTTATGGATGTGACATTTTTTTGTTATGGAAGAGACATGTGAAATTGCCACTTGTGTGATTTTGGTTAATCAAATATAATAGTTTGCAAACACTGACAGAGACGCTTTAAGGTACTGTAAAATACTTGCTTAGAAACGTTTTCGCTATTTTATTAAAAAAAAAATTAAATATAGCATGGAATTGCTCAAATAAGTACTGTAATGTAAATCTCTTGTTTAGACCATTTTGCGGGATGTAAACAGAAACACTGCAACGTATTTCCTGTTTTACATTTTTAATTTCTAGCTTCCGAGAATCCAAACAGCCACATAGGCTATTGATAAATAATGTTATGATAGCTGTTTTAACATTACATAGTTTGATAACAAGCAGGAATGTTCATGAGCCACCATGACCACATCGAAGTGTTCTAAATGCTATAAGTTGGCTCCACTATTAAGGAAGGAATGTGGAGACAATTGACACACACTTGTTTATACTATTTCATAATTAAAATGCTAAATATATTACTAAACTACATAAAACTAGCAAAAGATAAAAATGAAATATGAAACAAGTCGCAGAACAACTCACCAGTAACCTCTTTGCTTGTGGCCGCTTTCTGTCTCCAATCCGAGCGGTGGCGCCATACAATAACATATTTCATTAAGACAGGCGAAGTACTTTCAGTGACGACAAGATCAACAGGAAGTTCCAACCAGCTTTGTTTACCAACTTCACGGTCGCGCTCACTTCTTTTTGAAGTCCGCAAAATTCAGTTTTCTTTTTATGACATGATTTATGCAACAGCAGTCTTAAACATGACCTCGCGCTAACTTTATAACGTAACCTTACGCAATGGCGAGCGGCTCTTGAAAGCAGTGAATGGCATAAGAGAGAGAATCAGCTGCTTATTTGACGCACTGTCAACACTCATGATTCATCTAGATCTCTGCTGTTTGCACGAATCATATGCGCCTAAACCAAACCAATGCGGTAGAACTGACAAGAACTCAACTCCGTTTTTTTTTTATCTGTAGCAGCTTCTGTGTGAAACTCCACTAGAGTGTAATGTGTGTAGTGTGAGAGAGATCCGAGTGAGCGGGGAAGATGCCGTGCACATGCGGGAACTGGAGGAGGTGGATTCGGCCTCTGGTGGTGGTGCTCTACATCCTGCTTCTTTTGGTTGTTCTTCCGCTGTGTATATGGGAACTGCAAAAATCAGAGGTCAGAAGTCTTTTCAGAAATGCACTGTTTAAACATTCAGCTGCTTTCTCTAGAATCTGCTCTTAAATGATGATAAAGTTCAGACAATTAGACAAATGTTCTCACTCTTAGTTTGTACCAATGCCTTTCTTCTGTGGAACGCAAAAGAAGATATTTTGAAGAATGTCAGTTACTTGATAGTTTATGGTAACAATTGACTTTCATGGGATTTCCCCTACGTTACCTTTACTGTTAAACTAAATGGTTAAATACAGCATTCACTTCTTTTGCATTCAACAAAAAAAGACATGCATAATGGTTGTGAACAACTCAGGGGTGAGTAGATTTCTTTTCTGTGTAAATTATGCCTTTAACCACACATTGACCTTTAAAATGACACTTAAGACTTATTTGACCTACAATGAAAACCGTCTATTAATAATAGGTAACAGAGATTTGAATCTAATATGGATGAAATGTTAAATAATTTTCTGTCGAAACTTCCTGGTTTATTCTAGTAACTTTTGGTGTTGAATTTAATCTATTCTAGTGTAATGTGTTTTTATAAAACATATGAAGAGTTCAGATGCAAAAACCTTTTGAGTGCCATCTGAAATTGACAATTAACATTTTTTAAAGCCCCCTTTGTTTATGTTGACATATTTCACTTTAAAGACCAGGAAAATAACTTATTCTTTGCCATGACAGTGATATTACTGAACATACACACAGGAGCTTAATAAAAATAATAATTTTAGAGGAAAATTTTTGACAGCATTATATATATATATATATATATATATATATATATATATATATATATATATATATATATATATATATATATATATATATAAATGTTATTTTACCATTAATAAAGTATTTCAAAACATATTTTACAATTTAATAATTTGAGCTTGTTAAAGTTGTAAATGCAAAAAAATAATAATTAAAAATGAAACAAAACAAAGATTGTATACATGCATACAATTTGGAAACACAACACCAAAAAAACAGTTTTATTTATATTTATCAGACATTAAACAGTAGTTTTAATGCATTTGTTCCTCTTAATACCATCCTCAACATTTATCAATAAAAAATATTATTAATAATAAATATGAATAAATAAACATCAGGATAAATAATAAAACAGAATTACTAAAATTAAAATGAATGCTGTTTATAAAAATTATTTTTATTTCATAATAATGTGTGTATAAAAAATATTTATATATGATATACCTAAGCATGACTTTACATTATTTTTGCAATGTCTGGTTTTCATAGTGATATAATTCTCTCTTTTTAATCGTATAGGTTGGTACTCATAATAAGGCATGGTTCATCGCAGGGATATTTGTGTTTATGACTATCCCCATCTCGTTATGGGGGATCCTGCAGCATCTGGTACACTACACCCAACCTGAGCTACAAAAACCTATTATCAGGTAATATAATCAAGAATATTAGTTTTCAATGAGTTTATTTTATGTTCATTGGATCTTATTAATTATCTTGTGCTTTTTGTGCAACAATCAATAACATTCTGTATTTTAGTTTATGTTTTTTTTTTTGTAATTATTTACTATTACAGACTTGATCTGTTCTCCACTTTTTGAGAATGGATCTAAAAAATGACATTTTCATCTTAAAGTGTGGCCTATCTTGAATGCTTTGGGTCACAGATGTAATTTTCTTTTTGATGAAATTAGGACACATTTTAAAGAAGCAATTTGGCATGTAAACTAAAACAAAGTTAAAGTAGTAGGTTTGAATAACTGAGATTCCAAGTTAATGAAGTTAATGAAAAATGATAGATAGATAGATAGATAGATAGATAGATAGATAGATAGATAGATAGATAAATAGATAGATAGATTTGTTTATTTTGAACTGAACCCTATTTTTTACTTTTATTTATATATTTATTTTTTGTTAACATTGAATGTCCAATACCTAATTATTTATGCATTTGCTTTATATCGATATCGAATTATAATTCAATAACATTGAATAATGAAGTTGTTAATATTACTTAATATGTTTTCAAAAATTGTATCTAATTAAAATAGCCATAAGTTGCTGATGTGGCAAAAAGGAAACAAACATTCCAGTGAAGTAAAAAAGTCTGCAACAGATCGTTAAATACTGTCATTATTAATTGTTTTGATGATTTGTTTTATCTTACAACTGTACATGTATGTCATATAGACATCACTCAGACAAAGATAGTCAGTTAGTCATCTCTGATTTTAAATGTAATGTAAAAATGCAAAAGGTGCAATTTCTTCAAAGCTGCTTTGAAATAACCAAAATAAATGCAAAGTAGGTGCAGTATTGTACTGACATTATTATCTGTCCTACATTTTTTTCTGTTTCTCACTTGCTCCCTCTGATTTTATTTTATTGTTTTACACCCTCAGAATATTATGGATGGTTCCTATTTACAGCCTGGACAGTGTGAGTATCCAAATGTTGGTATTTGAATCACAAATGGCAACTCTGATGTTTGTTATCCAATATAAAGTCTCTTGACTTCAGCACTGACCTTTTTCTGTTTGACAATCAGTTAATATGAGGCCTGATGTTGCAGATGCTCATGACTTGATTACTTTAAGAGTTCAACCAGAAAAAGTGACTCGTTTGAGCAATCTCATGTGCCTCCAATCTTTTTTTATTTTATTTTTTTGAGGAGCATGATGCAATTTGTCATGTCTATTTTTTTCTAACATCTATTATTATTTTCACAGTGGATCGCTTTGAAGTATCCCAACATTGCCATCTACGTAGACACATGTAGAGAGTGCTACGAGGCCTATGTCATCTACAACTTTATGATCTTCCTTCTCAACTACCTGGGGAACCAGTATCCTAGTCTGGTGCTCATGCTGGAGGTCCAGGAGCAACAAAAGCATCTGCCCCCACTTTGCTGTTGCCCACCGTGGCCCATGGGAGAGTGAGTTTTTGCCGAAATGCATTAAAATATGTAAATATATTGATTCTGATTTGTTTATCTTTTAATTAGTTTTTGATTTGATTGTAGATTTAATACTATTTATATTTAAAAAAATAATCAGTCAACGCTGCAGTACACATGTAGCAATTGTTCTCACTTTAGTCATGGCTGACTGTTTACATATGCATTTCAAGATTTAAGTGTGCATTTGACTGTTCAATTTACAATAAGCAGCAAAAGTGAGGAGAATTCAGCTCTCGCACACTTATGTCTCTTTCTTTGTGGCGCTTCATGTTCGTGCCACAGAAAAGTGCCTGTTAAACATTTTTAAATGACTCATCACTCACATATACACACCCTATTGTTGCCTTCATCCATGTTTCTTGCTGCTGCTGTAATTTGTATAAGCAGTACTGTAATGCACATAGACAATTTTCAGTCGTTGATATTATTATACAGTTGAAGGTAAAATGAATTAGCTTCTGTACACTTGTATTCTTTTCAGAAAGAAAAAGATTTTGGTAACACTTTAGTTTAGGCCACAATTCACGGTCATTAGCAAACCTTTAACTAACGCTACAAGCATAATAAGCTACTAATTAGCTGTTTATTAATAGTTAGTAAAGTTGGGTTTAGGTTTTGGGTAGGAATAGAGATGGAGAATAAGATCATACTTTATACCTGCTAATGAAAAGTTAATATTTGAATTAAAGGCAAGTAATAAACTAGTAGTTAATCGCATGAATTTTGATCTAAAGTGTTCTCAAAAAAAAAAAACACATTGTTTAACAACAGATTTAATAACTGATTTCTTTTTATATATATGTTTGCCGTAAAAATAGTACATACTATTTTACTAGATAGTTTGCATGCTAGTGATTTAGTATTTAGCTTAAAGTGCATAAAAAGGGTTAACTAGGTTTATTAGGTTTACTAAGCAAGTTAGGTTAATTAGGCAAGTCATTGGACAACAGTGGTTTGTTCTGTAGCCATATCTGAAAATAACAATTTCTTAAGGGGGGTATTAATATTGACCTTAAGAGAATAAAATACTTTTATTAATATGAAATTTAAAAACCAGTATCCCAGTCTGGTGCTCCTGCTGGAGGTCCTGGAGCAATAAAAGCGCCTCGCCCCACTTTGTTTAGGTTTTGGGTAAGATTAGAGATGAAGAATAGAAACATGCTTTATAACTGCTAATGAGCAGTTAATATTCAATATACAAATTAGGTTAATTAGGCAAGTCATTGGACAACAGTGGTTTGTTCTGTAGCCGTATTAAAAATACTAATTTCTTAAGGGGGTTATCAATTTTGACCATAAAAGTATTTATATGAAGTAGTGTAAAATGTCCGTGCTCTGTTAAACATTTTAAATAAAAATACTTTTAAAAATATATGAAATGACCAGTTTTTAAAAATGTAAAAAATTTTTTTGCAATGGTCTAATTGGATATATGCCGAAGTATGCGGAAGGACCTTTAATTTGTCAGTAAACTTGGTCAAGCGCTTCTGATGAACTGTATGCCGTTACAAATTGGCGCTATTAAAGTTTGTTTTCTGAAGAAAAAAAAAAAATGCTATCTTCACTGGCTTAGTGATATCCGATATAAAGTTGGTCTCAGATTGTACAAGAAGCACTGCATTAAATTACATTTTTCCCTGCCATGTCTTTAGAATATTAACATTTATTTTATTCCAGTATATTCAATGGAGCTTCTGCGCTAGCCTGCTAATCCTGATGAGCATGTGATTGTAAAACGGCTTTTCATCTCGCTTTACATTTGAACAACTAAATGGATGCTTAAGTCTATTTAACTGATTATATTTTAATTACATTACAACATCGATGCTGTAAAAGGAACCGTATAAAATGAGTAAAAAAGGAAGTCATTTTAACCATTTATCATTCACGGAAGTTTATCAGTATGGGAGGAAACACTAGCTCTGCATTACTGGGTTAAAGATGCATTCCCACAAAATTGGAGTCACTGTAATTATGAGATTCCAACTAGCACAAAGCACCCTCATCCTAATTATGTTCATAATTAAAACCTTTTAGCTGAAACATTTTAACTTGTACAATAGATAGCTGCATCACCTAAGAGAATCGATTTGACACTACGTTTAGATGTAAATTAAAAAAAAAAACATAAACGACAACGCAATTGCATAGAATTTCATGTTGCCTTCTTGAAATAAGAGTGACTACATTGTGTGAAAGCAGCTTAACCTAAGACAGGATGTGGTATTTAATGCCTAGAAAGTCTAGACATAATGACTGAGGCTCTTATGTTGAGGGCCTCCATTACCTGTTTACCATCTTCTCCTTTGGAGCCTTCTTCAAATGAAAGGCTTGGTTTGCAGCTAGGGATTTCTTCTAAACTGCTTGCAGAGTGAAATCTTTCTTGAGGTTGTTGGCTGCATTTACTTATGCTGCTGACAACAGCAACTTTTAAATTCACGTTAGGCAGTGGTGGTAATGTTTGAAGAGTTTGCTGATTTGAACCAGCAGTGTTTAAACTGAAAAATGTGTTTGTGTTTAAGGGAAAAAAAAACTTCTTTAGAGAACAGTGGAGCTTCATTATTCTGTCAGCTTAACTTAAGTAGATTGTTTGCGATGCCAGGGAAATATTTATTTACACTGGAACAATATTTTCTCAAGGTCTATTTTTCTCCATTTTTATATTGAGAACTGTACATTTCACTTTTTTTTTCTTCTGAACAGAGTGCTTCTGTTGAGATGCAAACTAGGAGTTCTGCAGTATACGGTTGTGAGACCGGTCACCACAGTCATTGCTTTGTAAGTGTCCTTCATGTTAATAATTTTTTTGTGTGGTTTTACACTATTAAAATATTCAAAATATACACTTATAATCTGATTTGAGCAGCAAGGTTGATTTCATTTAAAGGTACACCAGACCAGGGTGTCCGCAGGATCTTAAAATAGGCCTTAAAAAGTCTTAAATTTACTGAAATTTTGCTATGTAGGCCTTAAATATTTTTTAAACAGGACTTAGTTTTTTTCTTTGTTTATGTATTCCTACCCAGTCTGGCCAAAACCTTTAATCACCAACAATTAAACAAAAAAAAAATATTCACCAACAAACTATCTCAATAAAACTTTAAACTTTTTATTTAAAAAAGGTTATTTTTTAACTCTATTTACCAATCATTTTCCTTACATTAACATTTGTTTAAAAGTGCTCCATGTATTTACTGCTGAGGACACCGACCTAGACAGATTGTTGTGCATAGATTTAGTTTATTATAGTTTTTAAAACTTTTAAAACATTTGTCCATTTTTATTTTTTATTTTGAAGAAAGTTTATATTGGAAAAAGTCTATGGATACAAGTAGAGCTTGCTTGTTTTTACACAATATTTAAAATATTTAGCTTAGAAATATCTAAAATATAACATTTGTGTTATTATTAAATTATTATTATATTATTAAATGGATTAAATTATAAAGATTTTTTGATGGGGCAAAAAAATCTTTTCCATCTGGGCCATTAGAAAAATTATTTAGCATTTAGCTCTTTATGAGCCTAAAATTTCACTCATAATGGTCTTAAAAATGTATTTCAAAGTCTTAAATTTAACTTGGCGAAACCTGCAGAAACCCTGCTAAACACGTCCTTTACTCCTGGTTGACTGTGTGTGTTTTGGGACTGTGTGTGTTTTGGTAGACTCTCTTCACAAGCAGTTTTCAAATATTGCTTGGTACAAATTTGATCAAAATTACAACAAAACCAACAATATTGTGAAATAATATTTCATTCATAAAAAAGTTTCATTCAAAATTTATTTTAATAAACTGATTACTGTTACTTGTTTAGGCTCACATGGGATCTGCACCACATCTAATTTCCACAGATTTTTTTAGCCCATCATCAAGTCTGTTTACATGTTTCTAAACATATCTATTCTATTTTTAAGTTAATTTAAAGTTGATGTATAAAATAGTTTGATCAGTAAGATTTAATTTGGGTGCTGTTCTAAATGTTTCTGTACAATGAAATCAGCTTCCCATTTGTTTCCAATTGGGTTATTTGTGACTGTGAACTAATCACCCTCATGACCCTCACCCTCATATTTAATCTTATTGAAACGTGTCCATGATATAGATAGATCGATAGACAGATAGATAGACAGACAGACAGACAGATAGATAAGTAGATAGATTGATAGATAGATTTGTTCCTTTTAAATTAAATGCTATTTTTGTTTATTTATTAATATTAATATATTTTTGTGCAAACATTGAATGTACCGATACCTGATTATTTATTTTTATTATTAATTAATAAATTAATTTAATATCATCTCTTATTGAATTATGATATCTCATTTTTATATAAATTTCATTAATATTACTAAATGTTGTGCAAATGTTTAGATGATTTATATAAATTAAAGTAATATTTATGTCTTTTAGAAGATGTATTACTTTGTTAACAAAAAAGGTTTTAATTGGATTTGCGTTCTAAATGTTTTAGATTTTTTTTTAAATTTCATATGTTTACCTTTTAGTTACTTTCAAAATCATTTAGCACAAATCGATTTTTATTTATTTATTAATTTACAAAATTATGCACAGAAATAGCTTAAAACTGTAAAAATACTGTCTGGTACTAATAATGTTAAAAATGTTTGTGTTACTTAAATGGTTTTGTGTAAACTGATCATTTTTATTATTTTCTATATTAAATCAAAAGTTCAAAGCTTTTTACATTTTATTTATATTGTAAATATATTATATTTGTTAAACATTTGAACAGCTACATAGTTTCAGCAAATGAAATGTACATGGTTCATGTGCTCTCATGCTTCTTTTTTTTTTTAAATAAAATTAAATTTAGTATGCTGGTGCTAAATTTACACTCTCTATTATAGGCTTTCTTTTAAAACATAACCTTAATTTAGCATGTAACAGGATTGTCTGTCAGTCATCTTTCTGTTTTACTGAAATAGGATTTGTCAGCTTTGCGGGGTCTACGATGAAGGAAACTTCAGTTCAAAAAATGCCTGGACATACCTGGTTATTTTCAACAATCTGTCTCAGCTTGTAAGTGCCTGTTTTTTTCCTACTTGAATATTATGTAAGACTGCCATGTGAGCTGAATGAGTCTGCAGTTTCACCCAGACAACAAACCAGAGTAACTAAACTAAATAACTAAATCCCTTTTTACAACCATATTTTATGTTTTTTATTTGAACAACCTATTTTTTGTAAAACCTTATCAGTCAGTCCCTCATTTGTGTTTATAGACCTTTTTCATGGCTGCTGCATGGAGGGCGCCATACCGACCAGCATCTTCCGGTAGAATGCTAAAAACTTCCGTTTACAGCGTGTACAACTCGTAGTTTGCGCTCCGAAAATGGGTTTCAATAACGTTTTTAATGGATAACAGAGTGTTTTTGTGACACACAACTTAGAAATATGTCTGTTAAAGCCATTATAATCTGTCACATGTGGTTCTCCTAGTTCACGTGTCTGCTGTCAGAAATAATGTGTGTGTGTGCGTCCCCGGCCTGTCAGCTGTTAGCTCAGCAGCTCTTTAACACATACACACACACACACACACGCACACACACACGCACGCACACACACCGAGAGAGAGAGCGCAAACCACAGTACTGGCAAGAAACTTAACAGGTATGAAAGTCGTGCAATTTACAAAAATGACCAATAAAAGTCTGTTATTGATACTCTGCTGGCTGATTTGCTGTTCATTCTAATCGCGAGCCGTTTGTGTTTTATTTCGGTTTGTGTTTTTCTGTCTTTTCGAAATGACACTAGCCTATATTTTCACTTTGTCACAGTTATTAAATCAGTGTCAGTGGCACAGTACAGGCTATGCGTGTGTGTGTCAAACATTTTGGTGAATTACATTTGTTTGGGCTGGTTATATATTTTAAATAAAGAGAAAATGTTTACTTTAGCGATGACAAGGCTTCATTTAAACTGCAGAAGATGCCGTCTGACAACGAGGGGAAAATGCCTCACAGCAGCTGTTTTTCATCCTATTAGATCGCATTTCTTTAAAAGATCAGTCCAGGAGATGGTGCTGATGGACAACAGTATTAGTTCAAAAAGGATACAAGCAGGTAAAATAGATTAAAACTATCGTTTCAAAGCTGTCCAAATGTGACTGTTTACACGCATCAGCTGCCGACCGGAAGTTCTTTGCATTCTCCTTGCGCATACACGCAAAGCATAATGGGTAATTTTGCATTCCAGGAAAAAGGTCTATACTCTTTGTTAAAATAATAAATAGCTCATAGAATTTTATACAAGTCTGACCTGTTCACCCCAAGCACAATTACTATAAAGATAACGATAACGTCTAAAAAATCATTATAAATGTAAAACAACAGCAGAATTCAGACCACAACTAAAATGCTAAAAATGCAGATAAATAATATCATTATGATCACTTTCAGAAGTTTCTGAGTTAATAAATGACAAAACACTGAAAGCCAGTCAGAATATAATAAAATAGAAATGATTTCTTCAATTTAAAGCTACAGACGACAATATCAGTGCTGCTTGGTGTTAAACCCCCTTTCAAAGATTATTTAAAGATTAAGTTAACGACTGTCTAGAAAACAATTGGTTACACCATAGAAAAGAGTAATAAAAGTACATGAAAATTATGAAAGCTAAGTTAGCAAACTGAAGTATAAAAGTACCTCAGACGTCCAGTGCTAGATTTAGAGTCTTTTGTGTCTTTGTCTTTTAAAAATGCTGGGGGAAATAGTGTATTGTTTTTATTCCACTACCCTGTCTACAATCGCTAAGTTCGTTTGATTTAAATGATACAGTTTTACTTAATCATTCACTGACAAATGTGCTAGTTGCACACTGAGGACATGTGCTGGTCATAAGGATAGAAATGCTGAATGAAAAGCATAAATTATAAATAAACATTTCTATATTTCTTCAGTGTGGACAAACATTAATCACTATATTTATAATCATCATAATTATTATAATTATTAACGAGGCTTTAAGGAGCACGAACTACCTATCTTTTTTTTTTTTTTTGCTGTTGTTTCGAGTTAGGCAGTAATCTAATAACCTAATGGTTGACTTGTTTTCTCTCCTCAGTTTGCCATGTATTGTCTTGTGCTGTTCTACAAGGCTCTGAGAGAAGAGCTCAGTCCCATCAAACCTGTGGGCAAATTCCTTTGTGTCAAGCTGGTGGTGTTTGTGTCATTCTGGTAAAGTGTTTCCCACACATATAACACTGCTTTTTAGTTCCTGTGTTGTTCAGTGTAGTTTAAATCATTCAAGCACAGCTATTATAAACTATTACAAGCACAACTATTTTCTGAAAAGTTAGTGCCAACAATGGTGCTAGATCTATTTCAAAACAGTAGCAGCATGATTTGGGGTGTAAAACATTAGTTTAGCACTGAGCACTGTTTGCTTTGTATATTTTCTCACTTGCTGGTAGTTGAAAATGTTCTTTTTTGGGAAAAACAAAGCATTTTTCATTGTCATTACTCTGCTGTCCAATCACAGTGGAGCAGTTGTAGTAGTAGTAAATGTTGTTGTTGTTGTTGTGGTGGTGGTGTAGTAGTGGTGATAGTAGTAGTAGTCATTGTTATTGTATTTGTAGTAATAGTAGTAGTTGCTGTAGTAGTAGTTGTCGTAGTAGTAGTAGTTGTTGTTGTAATAGTAGTAGTTGTTAATGTAGTAGTAGTAATAGTAGTAGTTTTTGTTGTAGTAGTTGTTGTTGTTGTGGTGGTAGTAATAGTTTTTGTTATAGTAATAGTAGTAGTTGTTGGAGTAATAGTAGTAGGTCTTGTAGTAGTTGTTGTTGTTGCTGTAGTAATAGTTGTTGATGATGATGATGTTGTTGTTGTAGTAGTAGTAGTAGTTGTTGTTGTGGTAGTTGTAGTAGTTGGTATAGTAGTAGTAGTAGTAGCTGTCGTAGTAGTAGTTGGTATAGTAGTAGTAGTATTAGTAGTAGTTGTTGTATTAGTCATAGTAGTTGTAGTAGTAGTAGTTTTTTTGGTGGTAGTAGTAGTAGTTAGTTGTTGTTGTAGTAATTGTAGTAGTAGTAGTAGTAGTTGTTGTTGTTGTAGTAGTAGTAGTTGTAGAAGTAGTAGTTGTAGTAGTAGTAGTAGTACTTGTTGTTGTGGTAGTAGTAGTTAGTTTATGTTTTAGTAATAGAAGTAGTTGTTGTGGTGGTGGTGGTAGTAGTAATACTAATAGTAATAGTTAGCTGTTGTAGTAGTTGTTATAGTAGTAGTAGTTTTAGTAGTTGTTGATATAGTAGTAGTAGTAGTTGTTGTTGTTGTAGTAGTAGTAGTTGTTGTAGTAGTAGTAGTAGTAGTAGTTGTATAAGTAGTAGTAGTAAAAGTAGTTGTTGTGGTAGTAGTAGTAGTAGTACTAATACTAGTAGTAGTAGTAGTTGTTGTAGAAGTTGTTGTAGTTCTAGTGGTAGAAGTAGTAGTAGTTGTTGCAGTAGTAGTAGTAGTTGTTGTTGTTGTTGTTGTGGTGGTGGTAGTAGTAGTAATACTAATAGTAGTAGTAGTAGTTGTTGTAGTAGTATTAGTAGTTGTAGTAGTAATTGTTGTTGTTGTTGTTGTAGTTGTAGAAGTAGTTGTGGTAGTGGTAGTAGTAGTACTAATCGTAGTAGTAGTTAGTTGTTATAGTAGTTATACTGTAGTTGTAGTAGTGGTTGTTGTAGTAGTAGTAGTAGTTGCTGTTGTAGTTGTTGTAGTAGTTGTAGAAGTACTAGTAGTAGTAGTTAGTTGTTGTTGTTGTTGTTGTTGAAGTAGTAGTAATTGTTGTGGTAGTTGTACTTGTAAGAGTTGTAGTAGTAGTTCTAGTAGTTGTAGTTTATTTTAGTAGTAGTTGCTGTTTTAATAGTACCAGTTGCAGCAGCTGTAGTAGTAGTAATAGTAGTAGTAGTAGTAAATGTAACTGTAATCATTATTTTTAATTCATATTATAATTGTTTAATGTGGTTTAATTGGAATTCAATTGTAATTTTTTTTTTAAATTTATGTACAAACTTCACTACAGTTTTGTTTGTTTTATAATTTTAACCATTAAAAAATATTTTCCCTATTTTTTTCTTTTATTATCTTTTGTAGGCAAGCTGTGTTCATTGCACTTTTAGTGAAGGTTGGTGTAATCTCAGACTCTCACACCTGGGACTGGGACAGTGTGGAGGCTGTAGCTACAGGTTTACAGGTATGTACAATCTATAGATGAGATTCAGAAGTCTAAACTGTATTCCACTAGAATCAAATACATTAACATCCCAGTCTCTTTGAGAGTTGTCTTAACAAAACCCACATTTGTAAATGTGGTCAATGGCTGGATAGCAGCTAGTAAAGCACCAGTCTAGGTATTTTAGAAAATAATCATTCATTGTCTGGCCTATCATGCATTCCACGTTCGACTGATGCTGCACAGCCGTTAATAGACTAATGGTTGCACAGATGGAAGTAACCTTCAAGATTAAGACTCTGTGATTCTCTTTTCTAACAGGACTTCATCATCTGTGTGGAAATGTTTTTGGCAGCCATTGCCCATCACTTCAGCTTCACTTACAAGCCCTACATACAGGAAGCAGAGGAAGGTTCCTGCTTTGATTCCTTCCTGGCCATGTGGGATATTTCAGACATACGGGCTGACATCTCAGAACAAGTGCGCAATGTTGGTGAGTCAACAAAGTCTTTTCAACAAAAGTGTTTGCCCTAAACCTAATAACTGGTGGGGCGATTTTTAGCAGTAACAACAGCAATCAAGCATTTTCAAGGACTTCAAAGTGTCCACGGGATCTTAAAAAGTATTGAAAGTTGATAAATCAATGTAGAGAAATTCTTGTATGCTATTTTGCAAGTATTACATTTTATATCATTTAATTTTTATTTTTGATTATGCAATGTATGGTTGTATGCTAAAGTTTGCCTGAATTAAATCTGCAAATATCAGGATGCTGTTGAGTTTATGAAAGCACTTAAATCCTACTAGATTTGACATCATGTTGCTTTGTTTACTGCAGTAACCAAGGCAACATCATTATTTCTGCAGTTCTAAACATTCAGGATGCGCACACAGGGAGGTGGTAGAAAAAAAAGGAGCGCTAGCATTTACAGCCAGGGAATGACATCCGATGTGGTACAGAGTTTGTTGTTGTCTTAGTAATAAGAGATATTGATTGCATATTATATATATTATTTGCATAATGCTTTCAGCGCATTACAGCTTGTCACCCATTGATAAGCACAGTGATTTGGCAAAATTAATGTAAAGTGAGCTGCGTTTGTCTGACAGGTCCATTTTGCGATAGCACCCTCCCAATGGATATTGGATAAGAAAAAATGACCAAGCATCCAGCCCCAAATATACAATCTCATTGAAGCTCCAAGTGATTTTACAAGAGAGAAGTTTAAGGCCTACTAGTCTTTGGATGCCAACAATGTTGTTCTGTGTGGTCATGTGCAAGAAATAATGTTCCATGATGACCAGATTCAACACTATGTTGTGCTAAAAACCGAGATTCTGCCTAGCCAAAGACAAGGAAAAAAGACGGAACTGTACAAGGCCTGGGTAGTTAGTCATTGACAAGCAAAATGACTGCATTCTGACAGCGAACTATGTGACTGCGAACCATGTGAACCTACACATAGAGGTAAATTTGGTTTTATATTCACACATTCTGACTTTCTCCTTAAAATAATTTCATAAAAGTATTATTTGCGAACTCTAAATAGCGAAATCATATTAGCAGCCAATGACTATCAAAGTACAACACTGTTCACAGTCAAATAAACAGTGTTAATGTTGTTTTCAAGTCACACTTGCAGGTTATTTCAGACCGAATATTCAAAGTTCCGTGGTAAACAATATAGGGAGTGTGTCACAAGTTGTCACCGTAAGAATGTGTGAATATAGAACCAAGTTTACCTTAATAACTTACACTTTCACGTTTCATTTTTAGCATTCAGTGTACGCAGTTTAATTAACCATATGTAACTCTTTTTGCTGAAATCATTGCTGCAATCAAAAAAGAGTAATGTATATGATTCAGCATAGCTCGAACTTACCTGATATAACATCAGAACTGCAGAGTCCAGCATTTTTAATTAGGTCCTCACTTCAATCAGCTCCCCTTTAGCCAAAGACGTCTGCAGTTGCCATTAAAGCAGTGTGGTGTATGGTTAAAGTTAAGTTTTCGATTTTTAGACTTTCAAATTTGGCATCCTACCGCACAACACAACATGTTTGCTATTTTTTTTTTGCAACCGGGGACTCGTGTGACGTCATGTGTGACGTAGGTTGGTATTTTGTCTATAGGCGTCAACCTATTGAATTAGCTAATTCAGCAGGTTGGCGCCTATAGAACTGCAGAAATAATGATTTAATATATTTTTATTCAGTATATGAATAAAGTTTTCGTTTTGGATTAGTTTCTTACATTAATATTTAGTAAATATACTGTAAGGGTTAGGGGTAGGTTAGCCACATTGGAGGGTTTTCGAGCATGAACCGCTATTTTAATATTATGCCACAGAATCTCAATTGGATTCAGGTCAGGACTTTGACTAGACCACTCCAAAGGCTGTATAATTTTGGATTTTGTTTTTCCTTAATAACAAAAATCTTAGTTCAAAAACTGCATGATGTGTTTACTTGTGTTATCTTTGACTGATGGCTAAATTAGTTTGATAATCTGAAACATTAAAGAGTGTCCAACTTGTATAGAAATCAGAAATATAAGAAACATATAAGAAATCAGTAAGGGGCAAACACTTTTTCGCACCCCTCTCTATAAAAAAAATGTGAACTATTTTAATTCCACAATATTCAGGAAATTCCATGAGCCGTGGCAACCCTGTAAATATATTGGCTGATTAGATATTTGTGTTAGTGGCTAGTAATAGTACATCCAAATGAACTGATTAGATCAAATCAGTGTCACCATGCTTTCGTTTGATTTCTTTAGGGAGAACAGTCATGGGTCGTCCAAGGAAAAACTATTTTGGCGAAGAGGCAAACCACGATGAGAACAGAGGACTACTGTCAGCTGGTTCACAGGATGCCGCTATTGAATCGTCCTCCACTCCTCCATCACCCAAGGGCCGGTATCAGGGAATGGGCCACACAGTAACCCCTCATTCCATCTCTGCTCCTGCTAATCTTGGCTGTGTACCATGGGAAGGAGATGTTGATGATATCCCTCCTACAGTTATATCTGACGATCACACAGCCCAACAGGACTCAGACTATGCACCTATCATTTAGCATTACAGAGTTTGAGCTGCCAAAGCTATTGTAGTTAATGTGCGTTAGTATAACGTGCATTGGCTACCATATGGAATATATGCATCCACTGTTAACTCTTTGTAGCGGTGGTTAACGTGTTCAGAAAGGCTCAGTGCAGATTCGGTAGCAAGAAGAAACATGAAGAGCAGTGTTGGTCCTCATTTTATATCTCCGTTTGGTTTTATTTTGTTGGAAACCTGACCAAATTGGTTTTAAACTGACCTTAGAGTTAAGCACAGTAATTAGTGTATTCAGTTCATGGTACTTTTAAGACAGCTTTATGAATGTTTACTCTAAAGCCCAATGTATACTTCAGTTTTTTATGGGTATACAACAATATGTGCACAGCTGCTTTTTACGCAGGCTTTGTAAAGTAGCTAATCTTCATTTGATAGAATGAACACAGATGCCAGACGCGTGCACACTGCAAGTTTTGCTACATCAATTCAAGCAAGTGTCTAATGAGGAAAATGATGGAAGAACTAGTTGATTCAACCTGAACCTTCATCAAAAGCATGACGTGAGTAGGATGTTTATAGACCTTTTTCTTAGAACGCATAATTACCCATTACGCTTTGCTTGTATGAGCAAGGAGAATGCTAAGAACTTCCGGTCGGGAGCTGATGCGTATAAACAGTCACATTTGGACAGCTTTAAAACGATAGTTTTAATCAATTTTAATTGCTTTTAATGTCTTTGAACTAATCCTGCTGTCGATAAGCGCCACCTCCTGGACTGATCACTTTTAAAAAATGTGATCTAGGATGGAAAACAGCTGGTGTGAGGCAATTTCCCCTTGTTGTTAGACGGCATTTTGTGTCATTTAAAATGAAGCCTCGTTATCACTAAAGTCAACATTTTCTTTTTCTTTTAAACATATAACCAGCCCAAACAAATGTTAATCACCAAAATGTTTGACACACAAAGGTAGCCTTTACTGTTCCACTGACACATTGCTTAAACAAGTGTCACAAAGTGAAAATAAAGTGACGTTTTGAAATGACAGAAAAACACTAACTAACTCAACGAAACATAACGGCTCCCGATTAGAATCAACATGCAAATCAGCCAGCAGAGTATCAGTAACAAACTTTTATTGGTCATTTTTTAAATTGCATGACTTGCATACCTGTTTCATGCCAGTTATCTGGTTTGCTCTATATACGTTTTTCTCTTGCACTTGAATTACATCTGACAGATAATAACGACTTTAACACACACCTTTCAAACTTTCAAAGATGTATGTCACAAAAACACTTCGTAATCCACTCAAAACGCTGTTGAAACCCATTTTCAAATCACAAATGACCTATTGTAAACGCTGTAAACGGAAGTTCTAATCATTCTACCGGAAGATGCTGGTCGCTATGACCCCTCCATGCAGCAGCCAAGAAAAAGGTCTATACTGTGCGTGTTAAAAGTGAGGTATACTTTGGGTTTACAGGGATAGATCACCCAAAAGAAGTTTTTTTTTTTCACACTCTGAACTTGTAACTCTTTCTTCTGTTGAACACTAAAGTAGATACTCTGAAGAATGCTGGAAACAATCAGCCATTGACATCCATAGAACACATAAGAAATTATTTGAATAGTTGAAATGACACAATTCTTTAGGTTTTATTTTTTTTTGGTTAAATTTGTAAACTCAATCGATTTGTGTTGGGACGACAAGAAGTAATTGTGTAGAACACAGCATTTTTTAGTGTACGAACAAATACAATGGGAGTTAATAGCTGATTTTTCCAACATTCTTCATTAAATCTTCCTATGTGTTCAACAGAAATTCAATTGGAGGATGAGGATGAATAAATAATGACAGGAGTTAAATTTTTTGGTGAACTATCCCTTTAAGAAATACAATGTATTAATAACACTACATGTTTTTACATTTTCAGTACTGTCCTGTGTTTTGTTCTTAATGTCTTTTAATACATGACATCTGTTACTTTCAGGTTTTTCTTCTGTAAATTGGAATCATTTCTTTGTTTTATTATTTTAAAAACAGCACTTTCAACATGATGGACAGTAATTTGAAATTGCCAGAATGCCATGGAGATTTGTTCAATTTTGTCTCAGCTAAATATATATGCATGATCTAGAAGATAGAGCAACTACATCAGCTCTAAAGCACAACATACTGAAGCAGTCATATCTCTGCTCGCTATGCTTTAGAGCTTAGCAACTTCCTGCAGAGAAGCTCCATCTAATAACCTCGAAACATAATTGGCTATGCCATTATTCTTTATTTCCATTTCTTTAGTTATTTGCATTCTTATAACAAAATTGGTTTTGGTTTAAAACTTAATTCAGAAACGTATAGAAAATATATAAAATACTGATTTCACATTCACATCGGGAATAATGCAATGTTCTAAATATTAGCCAAAGTCAATGTATGGCTCTTAAAACAGTGGTCTCAAACTCAATTCCTAGAGGGCCACAGCTCTGCAGATTTAAGCTCCAACCAACTCCAAATGACACCTGCTTAATGGTCTCTTGTATTTTTGAACACCTTGATTAGTTGGATCAGCTGTGTTTGATTAGGGGTGGAGCAAAGCTGTGCAGAGCTGTGGTCCTTCAGGAATTGAGTTTGAGACCACTGTTTTAAGAGCAATAAAAGTTTAGTTCTACACAAAAAAATAACTGCCATCATTCCTCTCATGTCATTCCCAACTTATAAGAATAAGTCAAATTTTCGAGTAACAAGTGAAAGTATTTTTAATGAAACTTTAGGAAGTAACCTCTATTATTCTCCGCGTACGAGCGGGCACAGCCATTTGAATCATTTTGGCACAAGACTCCGGTCTCATTCGCTTCTATTCATTTATAGACATTAAAACAGCTCGTTTTGCTGCTTGATGTTGCTTACTGACATTTTCTCATTATATTATTGCTTTGTCTGTATAATCATGCAAACACTTCTTTGTAGAGCGAGTAGTTTGACCGTTTTCTGCCGTTTAATATTCCCAGTCATTTCTCCTATAGACGACTGAACCGGAAATTCTATAACAATCGCAAAAACAAGCGCACTTCCGCAGTTTAGAATAAGGTCAATAATGGCCCTTGCTTATCAAACAAGTTTACCTTTTTTGATGTGCTCTGTATATGAGATCGAAGTTTATATGTGAACAAAAGTCTAAATCAGGGGTGTCAAACTCAGTTCCGGTCACACTGGACTTTTCTTCCCACAGACTTCCATATATACGCAAGCGAATGCGTCAGACGAGCTTGGTGAACTCTGACCTGCAAAATCGCATCACTTGACTGGGTGAGACGAATCGAGGATCAAAACATGACCTCTATGGACAGAAATTTAAAACATGGACCAATCGCCCGCTTTTTTTATGTCTAATTATCTTGTTTAATCCCGCCCCTTTTCACAGTGCCGACAACAGAATTTCGCATTATCAAACTCTAGTGTGACCGCAGCTTTACCCAGGGGTCACCAATTTAGATGTCCCAGCAGGGTTTAGCTCCAACTTGCCTCAACACACCTGCCTGGGTGTTTCAAGTATACCTAGTAAGACCTTAGCTTGTTCAGGTGTGCTTGATTAGGGTTGGAGCTAAAATCTGCAGGACACCGGCCCTCCAGGAACAAGTTTGGTGACCCCTGCACTAACCTGTAGGTTTCAAACAAGCCTGAAGAACTCATTTAGTGTGAAGGACTCAAGCCTGAAGGACTCACTTAGATGTGTTCAATAAGGGTTGGAACTAAACAGTGCAGAGCTGCAGCCCTCCAGGAACAGAGTTTGACACCTGTGGTCTAAAATTAAATTAAATTGATACCATAGTTATAATGTCTCTTCCGAAGACTTGGATTATCCCGCTTGATTCATTTTGACTGCATCTTCATGAGCTTTCTGAAGTGTGAAAATTTCAGTGCAATATCATGGCAATATTCATATCGTTTTTTAATTTAGTTGCACTCACATTTGTTTGTTTTAGTTTTATTATCTCCTCCAGCAGTGATGGTTGGGTTTAGGGGTGCGGTTTGGGGCCACACCTTATAAAAATCACATGTTTTTGTACAAATAAAATCGCCTGAATTTGGACAAATTAGCCAATATTTTGACAATAGGTAACAGTTAAGTTTCCTCTTTGAGATTGGGTTGGAACGTTTTGCTTACGAGAACTAAAATTCAAGTTTCATTACAAGTATTTTCATGATTTTATAGGCTTTGAAAGACTTGAGGTTGAATAATTGATGGCAATTAGTATTTTTGGGGGGAACTTTCTCTTTAAAAAAGTCTTTTTTTTTTTTTACTTCTGTTTTCGCTATCTGTCCTCCAAATTCAGCTGCACATGAGCTATAAATGATATATAGAATTACTGCAAGATCAGTTTGTTCTGTCAATACAGATGTGGACCTGTGGGAAATAGTCCCATTTATTAGTTTTGATGAACTGTCATAAGTCTCTCTTTTCCATTGAGAGAGATGCACCTTTTGCGATGGTTAGTACGGCCGTTGCATTGCCTTATCTAACAGTGGTTATCACAGATATTAAACTTCACATGAAAATACATCTTTAGTGTGTCCGCTTGATTGCTCACAAATCTCAGTTCAAACTGTCAGTTCACCAAGAAAATATGAACTCGCCCTAACAGTTCCAGAACTTCCTTTCTTCCGCAAACAGTTTTGGTTACTATTGATTTTCATTAAACAAACACATATATTTTTAGGAATTTTTATTATTCAAAATTTTAGTTTGACTGTTATATTAGTAGCTATAACTGTGTTGCTGGTGGCACAGTGCGCTGTTGCCCAACAGCAAGAAGGTTGCTAGTTTGAGCCCCGCCTGTGTCAGTTGGCATTTCTGTGTTTGCATGTTCTCCCTGTGTTGGCGTCGGTTTCCTCCGGGTGCTCCGGTTTTCCCCACAACCAAAGACATGCGCTATAGGTGAATTGAATAAGCTAAATTGGCTGTAGTGTATGTGTAAATGCAAGAGTGTTATGGGTGTTTCCCAGTGCTGGGTTGTGGCCGAAAGGGCTTCCACTGCGTAAAACACATGCTAAATAAGTTGAATAAGGTAAATTGTCCGTAGTGTATGTGCGGGTGTGAATGCAAGAGTGTATGGGTGTTTCCCAGTGCTGGGTTGTGGCTGGAAGGGCATCTGCTGCATAAAACATATGCTGGATCAGTTGGCAGTTCATTCTGCTGTGGCGACCCCTAATTAATAAAGGGACTAAGCCGAAAAGAAAAGAAATTAATAAATGAACTGTGTTGCTACGGATTATCAATCAGGTTTAGGTCAGGACTTTTGGCTGCCATTTCATTATTTCAGTCAAGCTTATCAAGCTTTAAGTAACTTGATTTATGACGGCTCATTGTCCTGCATGTAAATTAACCTTTGACTTTCACCTGGACAACCTGCTGTCAGGGTTTTAGTCACTTTAAAAGAGATCATCATTCGACAATTATCCAATTATGCCGACAATTATCCAAAAACAAACAAACAAACAAAAAAAAAAAACAGTTTGGCTGCCAGTTTAATATAGTCGGATAAATAAGGTTTTCTTTCCAAAAATTTGTAGCCATACAGGGGCTTCAGCCTTAATGCTTGACCGAGGGTGTGTCTGAAGTTGAGGCTGACCTGATCATCATAACAGCGCCACTGATATGGCGCAGAAGAATCCACAATGCAGTTCGGCAAACCTGACGTCATCCATTCTATTTGAATGGGAAGCGTTGACACTGACGCCCTGTGTGAAAGAGGCATGATGTATCTAAACGTGTTCTCTAATTTTGCTCAGCGTTTTTAATACTATGCTTTAGAATATACAGTATGGAACTCATAAAAATACACACACACATGCTTTAACTCCTATTAGGATAACCTGAAATAAGCAAGGAGTGAATTCTACAATTTTAATAGACATTAAAGGATCTGTTTCAATGAGTTAAGTGCATGGTCTAAAGCACACAGTACAGATAGACTTGAGGCCTGTCCAAATTCACTTTTGAAATTCAAAGGAAAACAGTTTGAAAACAATGCAAATGCTCTAATATTCTTTTAATGAGTTTCAAGAGTTCACATTTAGATATTGCTTGATGCTATTAGCAGGTTTGGCATGCTGTCCAGGGAGAGAACCCTGAGCTCGGGAATAATTGAGCCCAGGGCTCCCGTCAGGTCTTTTAGCATGTAAGGAAGTCTGAGATAAGGGAAGTCTTGAAAGCTCCCCCTGGTAAAGAAAAAAAAGGAGGGGATGAGGTGGAAGGGGGGGATTCTTCCCAAACCAGGATAAGGCAGTAGGGTGAAAGCAATCTATTTATTGTACACTATAAAAAAAAAAAAGTCTTTTATTTTTAGGGCTTGACATTAACTTTTTTTGATCACCAGCCTTTGTGGCTAGTAGATTTCCAACATTACTAGCCACTCGCCATTTTCACTAGCCACACTTTTCTTGTTGGGAAAATATGTTTTATATGCATAAATTTGACTTTGACATGCTAAAATGATTTGATTTAGATGTTGTGTAATGTCCATATGCCTTCTCATTTATTTAAATTATTGTGTGAATTGTGTATTAGCTTGCTCAGTGTGCATGAGCAAATGGGTTGTCGCACTGCAATCAGTTTTTATTTCAGGACTTTCAAAATTAAGGATTGACCAAATTTATCTCCGACCACACTAAATAAGTAAACAACCAAAACAAGGAAAATATAGCTTTATAGGTGCACTTTTTAGTTCAACAAAACTTTTCTTTAAGAAAACATTACATTTAATAAATAATTTTTGTTGTGTGTAAAATATGCTTAGTAATCTGTCCGGGCTAAAAGTCCCAGATCACCAGTTAACTACACATAAACAGGAAGTAATCTCCCATTAAAGCAATGTTATTGTAAAATATATAATTAAACCATATTAACAAAAATAACTAAGCAAAAGAAAGCAGGTGAAACACACCGTGTTTGATAATGAAAGGATGATCACCGTTAATACACGGTTAATTAATATAGGTTTGTTAATAATCTGTTCAAAGAAAAATAAAAAAATGAAAGCAGTGACGGCTGCTGCTTACAAAAGATTATGTGTATTTTTTTTTAATCTTGAGCTCTTGAGAGCAGCATGACTGTGGGTAAAGGATCATAGCTCTTTGTCCAGTCTATTTCAAAGAGAACCAATCGCAGCAGTTGCGCTTCCTCTAGTCACGGTTGCTTTGCGCAAGTAAGCGGGAGCGCGTGCGGTTTTTAACAGTCATGCGCATCAAATGACCTGTGCACGCGAGTGATCATCCTCTTGTTCTGTATTTACCTTCTTTTTTGCTGTTTTGCTCGCGCGAACAAAGTTATTTTTGTCATTCGTGCTGCTTCTCAATTAGATCACATTTGCACGAATATTGTCCATGCTTATTGTCAAACCCTGCTTTTAAGAAAACTACAATTTAAAAATTATTTTCAACCGGCCAAAGTGGCTAGTGGAGGTGTCTATCTAACCCGCCAGAGCTGAAATCTACCCGCATTTGGCAGGTGTTAATGTAAAGCCCTGGTTAATTAACTTTTTTTTTCAGCAGCTGGGGTGAAATAACGGCCATTAAATTAGAAATTTACTGTAAAATAACAAACAGTAGGTTTTTTTACGTTTTTTTACGTTTTTTTTTTAAAGTAAAATAATTTTTTTTTTTTTACAGCGTAGGCTTGGATCAATCTGATTGGATTATTACTGACTACAGATGAGACCAGCTGCGATCAATCATATCACATGCTCCTTTCGAAATTGGTATATAAACTTCACTTAGTGTGTAACATGCAAATAAACCAATCCGTTCTCAAAACCAAGAACGCAGAGAACAGACTTGTGTTCTCATTTACATTTTAACTTACTTATACACTGTTTTATACAAATACTTAAACACTGTTGCAAATGCTACAAAAACATATTTTGCATTCTAAAAAAAAGTGTTTTGTTTGGCAAGTAAATAATAGATGATATTTTTAAGTCAACAAACCAACTTTAAAGTCTGCCCATCATTGTTAATATTATTATTTTAATATTTACACAATTGTAGCAATTATTAGAAACCTAACAATTACTTTTTACAATTTTTAAATCGTCGTTAAGGATTTTAATAGTTAAAATAGGGGTCTCCAGGAACCATTATATTATATAATCTTATGTTCCACACAAGAAAGCCACACATTTTGTAATGAAACAAGTGTGTAAATGATCTCAAAATATCCGTTGAGCAAACCGTCCATTCCATATTTGCAAAAATCAAGCCACAAAATCCTAGTGAAATTTTTTTAATGTTCTGACAAAAGTCTGTTGAAATATTTTGTGATAAGTGTTTCGTTTTGTAAATAACTTTGTTTACTGTATAGCAATTAAACAACTGCCAAATTCATTGATCATAGAGTGTTTTAAAATACATGATGTTAAAGTCCCTCTCATCATGTGTCATTGGTCGCAGACTCCACCTCAGTGTTGACATCATTAGCGCCTGGCTCCTCCTCTTTAACGGCTGTAATGGAGATGCTGCTTTTATGCAGGCGGACGCTGAGTTGAAGCCAGTCTCCTCTGCTGACGGTTAGAGGCTGCTGGAGGACCACTGCCGCCTGCTTCCAGTGAGAATCCTTGCTGTAGGTGCTGACGCTCTGCCAACAGTCCAGATGGATCTGGTACCAGAAGGGAATGGCACTCACCTTGCCTGAGGTGCTGACCTGCACCTGCCAAATCCAAAAAAAAGGTCAAAGATTGTTTGAAATAAAACTCGAGAGTTCGGTACTGTGCTTTTATTATCACTGAGTTAATAGATGACACGCTGATCTACTATTTACGCTAATGCTTTATCTGAGACTACCTTTTCATTCGAGATTAGGGCTGCACAATATATCATTTCAGCACCAATAATGCAATGTGCACATGCACAATAGTCACAACGCAAGATATGCAATTTAGAGTCTGAATTATAGTTGACCAGGAGCTACAGAAATGTATTTAAAGACATTTAACTGCCCCACCAAGAAAAAGACATTTGGATAGCATTTTTAACTCCTAAAGTCACTAGTTAACACACTCAAGACATTTTTTAACACAATTTCTAAAATATCAACCTCTACCAAATGGTTGATATGTGGGTTTATGGTAAAAGTACCAGATTTAATACATATTTTATGAAAAATCTGAAATATATGAAGTTTAAGACCAATTTATTTTTTTAAATATTCAGATTTAAAAAATAAATAAATAAAAATTTGAATACTAAATCATCTTTATATTTTGAAGAATAACATAAAATATTTCAGATTTTCATTTAACATGCTTTCTTGCTGTTGTTTTCTACAATAAAACCTTAATCAAGTGTAGTACTGCAACAGAATTC